GTGTGTGTGTGTGTGTGTGTGTGTTGCTGAGGACTGAGCCCAAGGCCTTGTGTATGCTAGACAAGCACTGTACCAACTGAGCCACGTCCCCAGCCGTCTTTTGGGACTTAGTATATTAGGTCTTTTGCTATTATCTCATAAGCCCCATGACATTTGTTCTTTGTTGCAGAGAAGGGGGGGGGGTGTCTGTGTTTTCTGCTCAGATTAAGCAAATCCAATTGTTCTGTCCTCATATTTACTTATTCCATCTTCTATCATTTCCACTGTAGTATTCAGGCCAAGAAGTTTTTAAAGCTTGTCATTGCACATTTTAATTTAATGTTTTTGTTTATCTCTAAATTCTGTATATTTGTAGGTATTTTCTATTGTTCCAAGAGAATTTATAACTGGTTTTATGATGGAGAATTCTAGCATTCAGTTTATCTCACTAGTGGTCAGTTGATTGCTTTTTCTCATTTAAGTTGTTCTCTGGTTCTCGTCATGATGAGTGACTTTTGCTTAGTGTCCTGGACACCCTAGTTAGGAGAATGTGGATGCCTTTTTAATCAGGCAGCACTATGTTTAGGTCTAGCAATACAGGTGCAGCTGAGGGGTTATGGTGTCTCTTTGGTCTGCCTGTGAAAATGGAAGGTGTCCACAGGCTAGGGAACCTAGAGCTATCAGAGGCCAAACTGTGCCTGGCTGAGCACTCACTGTGTCGGGCTCCCTTCAGCAAGACGAGTGTTTCCGGTTGCTCAGAGTCCCAGGCCCTCTCAGGCCCCTGAAGGGCAGAGGCWTCAGGGGGCTGGTGCTTGTGGTTATAGAATTGCTTTTGCAGGTGCTGTCTAGCCACCCTGGAGCCTCTGGATGGGGGACCTGGGTCTCAGGCCTGTGGAATCAGGGCTTCCCAGGCTTGGCTGCTTGTTGTGGCAGTCTACAAATATTTGGGGAGCTTTATTCTGGGACAGCTTGCTTGTAAGATTTTTGGATGGAACCAGCATAGCCTGTAGGGTTTATTTTCCTGTTACTGAGCCAGTACCTTGAATGCTCTACCCAAAGCACTGACTTTCCACTCTAGCTCATGGGAATGTGGACTCTCCTGGCCCTTTGTGAGCTCCAAGTGTCGTGTTCTCTGCTCCTTTGGGTGGTGCTCTTCCAGACTCAGTGTTCTCATGGGCATACCTAGGACCTCTGCAGCCTGTCCGGTGTGGCTCTCTGCCCCTGGAGCCCCAGCTCTCTTGGCTTCTCCAGTGCCATCATAACAGGGAGCTGCTGCTTTCCACCTGGGTGCCCTTTCAGAGCTAGGACCTGGTAAGTCTCACCCACTAATCACTGTCCTGCACTGCCTGATGTTCAGAATCTAAAAACTTCCGTATGTGCCCCCAGGTTTTTGCTGATCTCAGGAAAGTAAATCCAGTCTTGTTACTCACACTGCAAGCACTAGTACCCTGTTCTTTATCTTTCTTCTGATGGCTTGTCAGATTCCTTCTGCAGTCAGGRGAAAACCCTTTAGTTTTTCTCCACATCTATTTTCTGTGTCAATCCTGTCCATTCAGATGTGGGCTTCATTGTTATTTCCTCTTCCAGCTCCTTTTCTGTATTTCATTTTTACCTTTGTAGCCTATTTTCTACTTGTGACTTAGTTAACTGAGTCAAAGATGTAGCTTGCTATCTTCCCAAATGTGGTTTTCTTCCCCAAGTTTTTTTGATCCTATACTTCATTTGTTATCTTTATCCTTAAGAGTGTCCTGGAGATTCTTTCTTTCTACAGTATTTCTTCATAGGCCCCCATCCAAGCAACACGCTCTGCCCAGACCTGGCACCTGTCTTCTGATGGAAGGGTAGCTAGCTCAGTAAGGGGGCAGCAAATGCCCTCTGAGCGACTCACTGCCTGGGCTGGTGAGGGTGCCTACTTCTCTGGATGACCCTTTGAACAGCCTGCCTCTGACATACTTTTCTACATTTACTCATTAATAGCCTACCCAGCCATGCAGATAGAAGGTCCATATTCCAGGCGTGGACCGACCTGGGGAAGGGTGCGAATACACATGTAAGAAGTGCAGTCCCTGGCATCTGTGCTTTGGGAAACCTGGGGGGCGGGAGGTTCCTCAGAAGTGGCCACCTGCTGTAAGAGCAGACCTGCTGTAAGAGCACAAAGAAATCACAGTAGTGGCACCACAGAATCTGGGATGAGCCCCAAGAAGGAAGCCAAGTGTCTCAGCAGAGTGGTCATCATTCCAGGGCAGGAAAGCACTACTTTGAGGCCAGGGACCTTGGGTCAGTAGCTGGCGAAAATGAGGCTAGCAAGAGTGGACAGAGGTCTGATTAGAAGGTGAAGGAGATGGACAGAGGTGTTTTAGAAACCTTTCTGGCAAGGCAGGGAGGGTCTGGGGAGTCCCCAAACCCCCAGCATGTTTTGGCCTCACCCAGATGTTGGGTAAGGGCTTCCTCCAATGACTGCATTTTCTGTCACACATTCTTACTGCTCTGGCAAGGCCCACAGCAAGTGCCATGGGGCCATGGAGACAGAACACAATCCGACTTGTGGCTGAAACCCTTCAAACAGGGAATAACGCTATTTACCCACAGTGCTGCACCCAGCTATGCATGGCCAGGGGAAGGAAGAACACAGTGAGGCCACTGAAGTTGGAACACTTTTTTTTTTTTAAAGAGAGAGATGTTTGAGGATTAAATGAACTCTAAATAGGGCTAAGGGGGAAATGGGAGGGAGGGGTCATAGGAATAGGAAATACAGTGGAATGCAATGCTCATCATTACCCTAGTACATGTAATGAGGACACGAAGAATATGACTCTACTTTGTGTACAACCAGATATGAAAAATTGTGCTCTGTATGTCTAATATGAATCATAATGCATTCTGTTGTCATACAGAACAAATTTTTTAAAAAATTAAAAATAAATAAAAAAGTCTTCCACTGATGGGCCACCCACCTCAAAAAAAAAAAAAAAAAAAAAAAAAGAGACTTTTGAGAATACCCATGACGGGAACGAGACCAGACGGCCTTCCAGCACCATGCACAGCACAGCAGTCAGGATGGGAACTCCAGCGAGGCTGGACACTGAGGGGGTGAAAACCCAACACAGAGTAGAGCAAGGTGGTTGCAGGAGGCCTGCCAGGCGCTCCACTGTCACCAGAGCAGAGAATAAAATGCCCCATGTGAGCTGTGGATCAAGGCTCGAAAGAACCTAGCTGCTACAGCTGCCACCTCAGTTGGAGACTGGTGCCTGCCTGTGTCTGAGGCCTGGTTCCCAGGGGGTCTCTCCTCTGGCAAGGGGAAGTTTTGGAACAGGCACTGTCATTTCTAAGCAGCCCTATTGAAAGCTAAAAAACAGTGCATTTACTGGAAGAACTCTGGCTCTATGAATTTGATAATGAAAATTAATGAGCCCACCTCTGAGCTTTCTCAGGAGAGGATTCAGTTGTTTTTATAACTCAATGCGAATAAACGCACATTCTCAACAAATCCAACACTCCCAGCAAAGGCTTTTTGAAGAGCTTTTTTTTTTTTTTTTTTAAGAAATGTTTTTCCCACTCAATAAATCAATTCTGTAACCCATGACCCAGCACAAGAAGGCAACAGCGATGGGCAGTATGACTCCTCCCAGCTGGCCTTCCTAAGCTGTCAAGGTATTTTTTCCTCAGGGCAGGGCAATAGCAAGGGCGGATTCACAGGTTTTCTCATTTTTCAAGTTCTTTGACAAAAGAATGGTAAACATTTTACTAAGACTATATTTTAGCATTTTTCTTAGCACATTTTATGAAGAGTAGTGAAATTATAAACAAACCTAAGTTTCCAAGATGGAACATTTTTAAATGGATAAAGATGAGAACACCTTTGGAATGGATAGATGGTACGCAGCTGAGAAAGTCTCTGCTTAGAGACTGTAATTGGCGGCCTAACACTTCTTGGAATTTTTACATGAAAAATAATTGCTTGATTTTATTATTTGTTAAATGTCCCATGTGCATAGGAACTTGTGATTTATTTTTAAACCTCTTGGGAAGGAAGGGAGTTTCTGCTCTGAGGAGTGCCCCTGCTGGTGCAGTGTGTAGGGGAGACCTAAGGAGTGACATGTGCCTCCCAGGACAGGCCCACCCACAAGTCATTCCTTCTAAGAGTGCTTGAAAAACATGCAGCTCGCACATCAAACTGTAAGAAGTAGAGTCACAGAGACCCTGCAGAACACAGCCAGGAACAGGAGTTAGGAAACAAAGATCTGGATGTCCAAAAGCTCCATGTCCCCAAGGGCCTGGCTACTCTAATCCACGTCTAGGGTGAGCCTCTAGGATTCCCCATCCATGGCAGACCAGAAATTCACTATTACTAGTTGGTTGGGGGCATGTGGACCAGGGCCAGAAATGTGGCTTTGGCCTGAGAGTGGGGAGGAACCTCAAGATGCCAACAAATCTGAAAGCCAGTGTCACAGTCACCAGCAGGTTCCAGGGAACTCATTGGCCAAGCACCYAGCACAGCACGAACTACTCACTGCCATGAGCTGAGACTGGGTATATTCTTTAGAGGTAGGGGAGGGCAAAATATCTCTGAAGGATTTCTACTGGACAGGATGAAATGACTCAACTATCTGAAATGTCAGTTTTAAAGAAAAAGTCTGACAATAAGCAAAGTGTTTTCCTATTGTGCAAATACCGTGAAGTCAGAACTAACAACTGATATGGCTTTCATTGTGGTCCCTTCCTACTCTGGGCATGTCTCCAAGAAACAATGAGCACTGGCACCAGTTCTCCCACAGAAGCACTCTCATGAGAGCATCCCTACCCACAGTGCCTACCCTTCCTCCTCTGCACCCAGATGTGTGGCATGTTAGCCAGGGTCCACTCTCAAGTCTAAGGGTAAAATCCTGACGCTGACCTGCTGGATCTCCACCCAAGGTTAACCAAACAATCAGACATTCTGTAATTAAGAAAAGTCAAGTAAACCCCATAGATGGCAGACAGGGGCAACTCCAAAGGAGAAAGCTAGCAGTTAAACCTGAGTGTTAGACAGCAAATGAAACCAGACAAATATTTATTTTGCATTTGATTCTACTGGTTCAGATGTCTGAACGCTGGAATGAAGCCACCTGCCTCTCTTCAGGGCTCCTCCTCTGGAGCACATTAAGCTGTCCACGTGTGGCACATGCTGCTGATGATCCATGACCCTCCAAGGCCTCAGAGGCTCACCCCAGATAGGCCCCAGAACCACAGCAACTCAGAGACGGCCACAGTACAGTCCCAAGAGTCCAGACACTGTCTGGGCTGATTCCCTCCCGAGCATCTGTCCTATCTTGGGACAGTAAAAGCCTGGCTCTGACAAGCAGGGCCTGGCTGACACTCAAGTGACCACTCAGGACCACCATGCCCCTCCCAGCCTGCTTCCTCTGGGCAATGTGTAAGAAAGGGCTCCCTGCCTTTTTATTTTTATCATCCAGATGTGGCTTCAAAGGGCTCTGAAATGTCCTTGCCACATCTGGATTGGAAAGCAAGAGCTGGTATTTAGGAGCCAGGTTCCAGCTCATTTGGACAGAATGAGTGATGTCTTTCGTCATTACTTTGTATTTCTCTTCAATAGTTGCTTGACCCAACATCTGTCTGCTCTATACAATGAAAATACAAACTAAGAATAGGAAAAAATAATTAAAGCATTAAACTGTACAAATTACAAATCTGTTCCAAAATATACTTACATTAAATAAAATACGCATTTCAGTAAGATCTACAGTGAATGACTGTGCTCTGGGAAGCCTCACATCTGGGCAGGGCCAGCATTTGCGGGAGAAGCTAAGAGAATGTGCATCCAACCACAGTGTGCCATGGTTTCTTATTGTCAATCTGCAAGTGACACTGGATACCCATCTGCTGGGGAAGGGGAAGCAAGCGCTAGCCTCAATGCTGAGCCCATTACTACTTCCCAGGAGTCTCACCGACAGCCTAGACAGCACAGTTTCAGAAAAGTGAACATGTTAAGGGAGGCAGACAACTCTTTAGAGGCCCAAACACGTTTCCTGCTGTATTTATGCTGCATTCCCCGCCTACGGTGGGCGGTCAGGAGGATGGTCTTCTTCAGGACAAGGTCACAGGACTGGGATTGAGGGAGCGTGAGGACAGGGAGGAGGGCTACCTCGTGCTGCTTCACATTAGAGACAAACTGTGACACACAGTCCATGGGCCTGCAATCATCTCCTCTTATCATCTGGCATAACGCTTGATGTAGTCATCCACCTTATTCCGGAAGTCCTCCTGTGGAGGAGAGAGAGAATACAATGACTGAAGGAAGCAACGCTTCAGAGTCAGATGCCCCAGAGGGAAAGCCCCTATGAGAGGCCTGGCTCACGACACTGCCTGCTGTGCTGGGGTGGGCAGAGATATCTGCAAACCCTGATCACACCTGGCCCACAAACCAAGACTCCCTTGACGACAAACACAAGCATCAGCTGCTGCTCTTGGGGCCCTTGTTACCAGATCTGCCTTCCAGAGTGGCTTTCTTGGACCTGCTGCCCACTTAAAATATGCTTATCTTTCATGGCCCACAAGTAGCCTAGCCCCAGCCTCAGGGTGACTGCACTGCCCAGAGGAAAGGTGGGTATGCTATGAAATGCCAACTTCACACACAAGAAGCAGAGTCCACCTGGATGCCTAGGCATTTCAGGTGATAGCAGTGGGACTTGCATGGCCAGAATGACAGGAAAGCTTCAGATGTCTCTAGACCCACATGGCTGCCCTTACAATCCATAGGAGGCCCACGTGCCTGGTCATCTCAAGCACCCTGGCCAGATGGCACACCGCCTCCCACCCCGGGGTTTAATGCTTCCTCATCCACAGTGAGAACAGACCCCAGCCCCACTGCCAGCTGCTCAAGTGTGGGCCACATTCAGTGATAACAACTTTACCAGCTGGGTTCCATTATGCTTTCCCCTTCCCCATGGGTATAGATGCTTTGTTTCAAAATAAATAGTCTTCTTCAAGGGACATAGGCACCCATCTACACTGCCAGCAGACCAGGCACAGTCACAGCCACAGAAAACAACCAGGTGAAAGCAACTCAAATTAAGGATGCATATCATCCTTGACCCAGTGACCCAGTTCTAGGACTCCCTTCTGTTGAAATAAAACCACCTGTATTTCAGGTTGTATTTACAAAGGATATTTATTGAATTACTGTTCCTAGTTGGAAAAAAAACTTCATGGGGAACACCAGGAAATGGTTTTTAAAAAATATGGTAGAGTCACTTCATAGAACATAAGACAGCTTCTGAAATGAATGAGTGCTGGTTGATGCATTAATTGGGAGGGAAAAAGTTAATTAAGGACAAAAAGGAATGGAAGATTAAGAGTAAGAAACAAGATTCACAATTCTGGGAAAAGGTCAAGCCCCGTGTGTATGCATGAAAAAGCTCAGCAAAGGCTGTGTGAGGTGGAGACAGCCTGCAAGAGCCCAGCAGTGGGGTGAACTTTAGGCTACCCACTGCCGATGTGCCTGAGCTGTTAAACAAGGAGTCACTGCCTGTTACTAACACTCAATTTTACTAGGAAACCCCATCTAATAAAAACCATTTCTCTATGTAGGCAAACGCTTTCCCAAGATCACACAAGTTTTCTGTAACACATTTTATATATATATATATATATATATATATATATATATAAATTGCTTTAACTTCCAGTCTTGCATTCCATCACTCTCAATTTCTCATTTGTGCAATCAAGAGATGGTAGTAATTAGGGCTGGGATGTAGCTTACAGGTACAGCACTTGCCTTGCATGTGCGAAGCCCTGGGTTTGATCCCTAGTTTCAAAAAGGAAAAGACCAAAACAAAAAAAGAAAAAAAGATAGATCTGTCTTTTTACTATCACACCAACCTAAAAAAACCTGTTCATGGCTCACCTTGTCCCGCAAATGATGTTCTGCAGCTTCAATATTCAGTGGATCATCAAAATTCAAAAGGTCCTTAAAAAGAGAGAAACTCAAGGTGAACACTGGAGAATCTGCTTGTCTGGTGTCACAGTCTTCACCCTACAAAGCAGCAACAAAACCTAATCAGCCACCTGCAGGCTCAGCTGAGTTGGGAGCACCTCTGAGTCCTCAAGCTCCTGTGGTGTCAGAGTCCTGGGCTGGCTGGTTCTCTGTGCAAAACGATAGCTGACAGCTGACTGCAAGAGCTCAGGGGTATGTTTATATACAACTGTCTAAACGTCAGTGGGAATGGAGAAAATAGCAACCACATTAACTTCATTAATTTCTGATATATGGAGAATGATAACCACTCCCACTGTGAGCATTTCTAAATAAAAACCCCATTCTGTTTTATAAACATTAATTTTCCCTTTATTTAATGATACCTTTGCCTCCAGGCAACTGTTGTTTATCTTCCAAACTTTCTGGATCTCCCTGTCTTTGACAGACAGAGATCCCTGTGCCCTTCATGGACACCCACTCACAGGCTGGCGTCCCCGCCTCAGGGGAGCAGACTCTTCTTCTTCTTTTTTTTTTAGTACCGGGGATTGAACTCAGGGGCACTCAACCGCTGAGCCAAATCCCCAGCCCTATTTTTTTTCAAATATTTTTTTAGTTGTAGCTGGACAAAATACCTTTATTTTTATGTGCTGCTGAGGATTGAACCCAGCGCCTCGCATGTGCTAGGCGAGCACTCTACCGCTGAGCCACAACCTCAGCACCCCCCACCCTATTTTGTATTTTATTTAGAGACAGGGTCTCACTCTATTGCTTGGTAGTGTCTTGCAGCTGCTGAGGCTGCCTTTGAACTTGTGATCCTCCTGCCTCAGCCTCCTGGGCCACTGGGATTACATGCGTGTGCCACTGTGCCCGGTGGGAGCAGATTCTTGATATCTTAAAAAGCAATGGCCTACCCACTCTCCTCTCCTCCCAGAAGCACCTGGACTTTGAAGCAGAGGCCTCATCTGAACTCCCTATTCTCCTTGAAACTCAGGCCAGCAAGACTTGTAAGGTGTGCCCTATGATGGGTCATTGTAAAGACAATCATATTCCTCTTCAGGAATTATGTTAAATTTGGGGATTGCATTCCTGATTTGGAAATAAATATGGGAATGATGGATAACACGGTACAAATATAGCAAACAAACAAACAAACAAACAAACAAAGAATTGGAAAATTAGACTCCAAGTCCTAGACATAGGCAAAATATATAAGCACATACTATATGCAATACCTAGTATATATAAAGACTTCCCTTTACCATAGGCCTCACCTAGAATGAAAATATTAGATGGAATAACCAATACAGACTTAAGTCACACTCTGACCGGCTCTTCAGGATCTGGAAGCTTTGGGCACTTGGAGATGGGGAGCCACCACCAGATTTCTCTAAATAAAAAGTCTAAGGAACCAATGTGCATTTCCTTCCAGTACCAAGTCACCAGCCAAAACCTGCTTATGGTTGAGGAACCTGGGACAGACAGATGGTTCTAGAGAGATGCTTTTGATGGTGGAGCAAATGACAGTGAGAGGGCCCCCAAGAGGTCTGCCTTAGCTCCTGCTCTCAGTGGCTCTCAGGCAAACTGAAGACGCCACGGGCACAGCCAGACTGTCCTGGGGGCCAAGTGAAGGCCACAGCCACAGGTGTTGCCTCTCCATGGAGCAAGGAGCTCYGGAAATCACTGTAAGTGCTGGTCTCTTTGCTTGTGGGGCAGGTGTCCCCAGGAACACAGACAAAAAGGCAAAGGTAGGCAGGGACTCTCAGCTCAGTATGAAGCTCTTATCAAGAAGAGCAGCAGACCTGGCCGCGGCATGTCTGAATAGTGCATACACACAACAAGGGCCAGGAGGACACCCTGGCAGACTGTCCAGGGCAGGTGTGTGTTCATGGAGGGTCCTGGGACTTTTCCAAAAGTAGAAATTATTTTTTATTCAGAGACATACCCCTGGATGCTTTGAAAGCTCTTCTCTGAATCAGAAAGTAAAGATTCAAAGAAACAAGTATATTTTTAAAAATTTTTCAGTTACACATGGTCACAATACATTTATTTTGGTTATTTATTTTTATGTGGTGCTGAGGATCGAACCCAGTGCCTCATATGTGCGAGGCAAGTGCTCTGCCACTGAGTCACAACCCCAGCCCAAGAAACAAATATATTTAAAAGCCAAGGTAGAGCTTTCAGGTGTGTCCTTCCAGTGCTGCCTGCCTGCGATTCCAGTCAGCCTAGAGGCACTGTCGTCCAAGAACAGCAAACTCCAGAGGCTCAGAGACAACAGAAAAAGGCTGTAAGGTCCTGGGTTCCTGGATGACCACTTCATCCACGTAACTAGGACCCCTAGGAGAGAAGAGGGCCACCAAATGGGCTGCCTGGTGAGATGGCAGGCACAAGCAGGGACTGGGCACAGAAAACACACAGGAATAGCTGCCTGCTGAAGAAGCCAAAAACAAGTGGAACCAGGCTTGTCACCCAGAAGGTGGAGGCAGCTTGCCCAGCAGGGCTTCCCCTGATGGCCTCCCCATGTCACTCCAAAGCCCCTGAGGTTCCCATGCCACAGTTCTATCTCTGACCATAAACAGCGATAGGAAAGATGGGTAACTACGTGCATGGCTTGCTTTTAATCCCCTGGGCTAGCATTAAGGTGATGTTTCAAACCAGGGAAAGCAAAACAACTTGGCAGTTTGATCAATATACTTACAGTAAATAAAGAATTTAATCCCCAAACAACATCCTGAAATAAAAAAGAAAACAGAAAACAAAATTTTAGGCTCTTGCTCAATGAAAGTCTTTAAACCCATGACCAAAAATATGCTTTGTGCCATACCAAAACCTATCCTAAGCACTTTTTTTTCCCCTCAAGACAAAGAGAAAATAATCTCTTTTTTTCAAGTATAGTAAGCCAGGAAATTTAGAGACCAAGCAGCCACAGGAATAAATATAAGGTCAAAGGGAACATCAGCTACCCTTCCTCGGACCCAGGGCAGGAGCCCACAGGCCACATGCGTGCTTCTGCCATCAACCAACCACTCCCACCAGCCATGACAAATAGGCTTCTGACTTCTGAAAAGTACCTTAAAATAATATCTGTTGTTTTTAACATCAATTGCACTTGGAGCTCATGGATAAGCTAATTACCTATGTCCTACTGAGTTCTAATACTTTTGCTCTACTTAAATTCCAGATTTTTATTAAAATAAAACTGAAAGCCGCATTGTTCCATCTGTACTGACTCAAGATCTTCAACTCAACTACAAAGTCTTTCTCCCTCTGTCTCTTCATCAGCTAGAGTCTTTCATCTTTTTAAAGCTGGATCTCATGATCATCCCATATTCTCTGCTACTTGGTAATTTTTATTTGTCTTCTCTGCTTTCTTTCATCCACCTACCCACTGGCCCAATCCCCATCCTCCTGGTGTGAGCTAGGCCTTGGGCTGGAGCTGGGTGTGGGAATAAGCTCCACTTCTATTGGTGGGGTATCAGACAGAGGGCTGGCCAGCAGGTCAACACCAGAGCACCAATCCTGGGGGACAGGCCCCACAGTGGAAGTGGCAGTCATTTGAGTGGGGGCCTGCGGGAAGAGCAGGAATCTGCCAGGTGGAAGTCTGGAGGAGGGGTATCTACCAGGTAATCTGGCAGACACTAAGTCCCGAGAGGACAGAACACATCAAGGGCATGAAGAAGGCTGGAGAGAAGGCCAAAGCTTGGGAGGAACTGGGTCACAACTGCATGAAGTCTGCAATATTCCTTGACACTGGACTGGGGTCAAAATCCCTTCCCTGCACTGTTCTTCCAAAGTGTCAATTTGTGATAGAAACCCACCATCTGACAGACCTTCTGGCCACTAGGAGTGATCTACATAGGAAAGACTGCAGCTCTCTCCTGGGCACTCTCCTGTTGAATGAGCAATGGCTTCCTATGCTGTTTGTTGGTGTGGCTCTGAAATTGCACTGTGTGCTCCTGTCCCAGGCTCCTGAATGGCACCTGGCACTGGCCAACGAGACTGACCCAACCAGAACAGACTGGAGCCAATGCTTCACCAAGCAGCCCAGGCAGTGGGCAGTGGGGAGAGGAGGAAGCAGGTGTGCCTGGCCACCTGTGTGGGGTGCCAGGTGAGGACCATAGAGGAGGACTTGTGCCCCAAASGTGCCGACTCTTACCTTTAAGGTTCTCGTGGGAGCCCAGCCAGTGCCATCTATCGAATGTTCTCTCAGTAAACTGAAACAGACACAGAAATGCTCAGCAGCTAGAAAGGAAGCACCTAAGTCACCTGAGCCAAAGGCACAGCTGGAATGCAACTAGAGTCCTCAGCCCACTGTTTTATCCTAGGACAAAAGGAGATCTACTTTTTGGGAAACCTGTCTTTGCTCTGCAGCTTGCTGTTTCCTGTCCTGCTGAGGGCTGCCTTCTCTACCTCCAAGATTGAATAAATATTCAGTTATAATAACCTGTGTTATTTTTATTTACTGTACCTTTAATCCTAGCCACAGATGTTTAAAGCATACTTAAAACAACATACAAGAAATATTGGTCAACTTAACATTCAAAAATGATAGCAACAAACATGAAAACAGCAGCTGGGCACAGTGRTGCACGTCTGTAATCCCATGTGGCTTGGGAGGCTGAGGCAGGAGGATCATGAGTTCAAAGCTAGCCTCAGCAACTTAGTGAGGCCGTAAGCAACTCAGTGAGACCCTGTCTCTAATTAATATATAAAAAGGACTGGGGATGTGGCTCAGCGGTTGAGTGCCCCTGGGATCAATCCCTAGTACCAAAAAAAAAAAAAAAAAAAAAAAAAAAATTAAAAAAAAAAAAAAAAAAAAGAAAAATTTAAAAGAAAAAGAAAACAAAACAATAAAACAGCAATAACTAAAGCCCAAAGCTGACGTTTTTGTATCAAGCATAATGGATAGTGTTGTGTCGTTAAACTTACTTCATGCCTCTGACAACCCCTGAATAAAGTGCCAACATTTCCTTGTCTTACAGAGAAAACATGTCCAAAGAGCACGCTTGGCAAGTGGTGTGTCGTTCAAACCGAGAACCTGTGTTCTGAGCCACCACTGATGGGGCTCAATACGATGTTGAGTTCATCACACAGACATTTTGTAATTATTTATGTGGGTGTGGCAGGGGGTAATGTGAATGGAACTCAGATACAAGACTACTGAGCTACATCTTGCTAAGTTGACCAGGCTGGCCTCACAATTGGGATCTTCCTGCCTCAGCCTCCCAAGCTGATAAAATTATAGGTGTGCACCATCACACTCAAATCACACATGACATTTTTAAAACATTTTATTTATTTTTTAGTTTTGTAGTATTAGGGATTGTACCCAGGAATACTCTACCACTGAACTACACTCCTAGCCCTTTATTTTTTTTTTTATTTTGAAGCAAGGTCCTCCTAAGTTTCCCAGGCTGGCTTTGAACTTGCAATCCTCCCGCCTCAGCCTCCTGCGTCCCTGGAATTATAGGTGTGCACTGCAGTACCACCTCTCACAAGACAAGTTAGTAGATATTTTTTTAAAACTAAGAAGGGAAAACTTCAGCAGATTAATGCAAAATTCAGGAGAGGATTCACTCCTTGGTTGGAAGGACTGAGCCGCAAGGTGGCACACCAGGTTTCAGAGGTGTGGTGGGGTCCTGTTTCTTAAACTGATGCCTGAGGATCATTTTATATCAGCTGCAAATGCACACTGTGTTCTCTCACATATGTTATTTCATACTTTGATAAAACTGAGTTACTGTCAAGCTTCTGTTGGAGATAAAGTTATTTTTGCATTTGTTAAATTATTATATTATGCTATTACTTTGATCTGTACATAGAAGTCCCCAGGCTAGCTGTTGATATCAGGCTTTTATAAAAAGGCCATAATTATAAGCTGAGACAATCTGTGGGGGGGCAGCATTGGGGATTAAACCCAGAGGCACCTTACCACTGAGCAACATCCCAGCCCTTTTTATTTTTCATCTTAAGACAGGGTCTCATTAAGTTGCTGAGGACCTCACTAACTTGCTGAGGTTGGCTCCAACTTACAGTCCACCTGACTTAGCAGAATTACAGATGTGTGCCACCATGTCCAGCAAGGCAACTTTTTTTATTAAAATATGTTGAAATCCACGAAATCCACATAAGTAGATTCAGATCAGGAGAAAATATATACTTAGAATTTGAATTAAAGCTAAAATCTTAATTATCTATGAATATCAGTGAGAAAAAATATAACCAAACTAATATAAGACATTAAAATTTACTTTGAACTTTAAAAAGAAAACTCAAATCATGAAACCTAAAAACTGGATGGGCATCTTTCTGCTTCACAGAGATTTCAGTGAATTTGATGTTAGATGAATTAGAAACTTCTATAACTTCTGAATACCTTTTTGGGAACCATCCGTCAAATCCTAGTGGCTTTTACGGTCCAGTACAAGACTATACTGAGTTGGGGGGCGGTTCTGATCTAGCTCATCCTCTTTTAATGTCACCTTTGGTTAGGTGCTTGTTGGTTTCCTGGACTTACCTACCAAACAGCAAGCCTCATAAGAGCAGGGAATACAAATTGCTCTCCACCTGCTTAGGCATGATCAGCAGCAGGGAGGGGAGGCAAGCGAAACAGAGGGAGCTCAGGTTAATGAGACGCCTGTCAGTGTCCTCGTGGTTTTGCCAGAGCAGGAAAACTTCACACATGGAAGCAGGTACCTAGGAAGCAAGTGCCACTGGGGAAGCTAGGCCCAGGGTCTGCTGGCCATGGGTCTTATCAGCCTGTGGGCAGCAGTGAGGCTCTCAGGGTGTGGTGCTCTAGTCACTGAGGAAGTTGTAGCCTGGCCTCAACAGAGGATGGTCCAACAGGAGCTCAGATGCAAGACTTACGGTCTACTAAGAAAAGAATCAGAGAACACCTAGGGACTACACTGAAAGCCTGGACTCTGGAAGAAAAAGGCTGAAGCACAATCACTTAGCTCCTGACCTTGGGCCTTCCAATCCCCCAATAAGGGGCTTCTGACCCTTTGCCAGGAGCACAGTGAGGTCCCTGCAGGACCAGGCAGCCCCTTGAGTAGGGCACATAAGTATGACAGGGCCAGTCAGAGCAACCCTTTAAAGAGGGAAGTGGTCCTGCACACTAATTGGTATGTGTCCCTCTAGATCCAGGTGCTACTCAAGCCTGCTGGGAAGAACAAAGGTGGAGGCTGCCAGTGAACTCTGCACACTAGAGACATGCCTGGCTCTCCCCTTTATCCAGGAGATGCACGGTCAGGCCCTACTACTGCTAAGACACTGTCTACTTTTCACTAACAATGAATTGGCCCTTGTACACACGATGACATTGTTTTCTTAGGTTAACTCCCTAGAAGAGCAGCAGACAAGTCCAAGGGTAAAAACAAGTTACAAGAAGACCATGTTGTTGCAGGACCTGGAAGAGCTGTACAAACACGCACCCTCCAGCTAAGAGCCCGATCCGGCCCACCTGCCCCCAGCACTGCTTCAGTGTTGGCCATATGACAGCAACCCGCTGCACCTCGTGGTGTTTCTGTGCCTTTTCCTGGTCACCAGTAAGGCTGAGCATCTGCTTCTTCTGTGAATCACCATGTGTGATGCTGCTCATTTTTCCAGGGGCAGTGCCCATCTTTTGCATGAGTGGTAAATATGATTTACACACAGAAATCTTTCATCTTATACTGTGCTTATGTATTTTTAGTTTTAACATGGTTCGACTTGGCAATGTTCTGTTAAGGTTCCTGGCTTTTGTCTCAGGCTGCCACCTGCTAGCTGCTGCCATACTTTGCTAATAATCTGGTTTCCCCAAAGACACTACAAGGGTAGGATTTCCTATCCTGGACCCAATTCTAATAGACGCAGGAGACACCCACGGAAGCAGAGTGAAGCGAGTCCCCTGGAGTCAGAGGGCTGTGAGCAAGGGAAGCTGAGAGGGGCTCACACCTGCAACTAGGGTCTTCAGGTTCTAAGGTTTCGATGCTTAAAGGAAACATACTTTAAAAGTCATGCCTGGACATAAAATGTAAGTTTAACTATCTATCAAAATAAGACTGGCAAGAAAGGAAACAGCACACATAAAAATGGACTGGGCCAGTGGGCACGGACTGCAATTTTGAGCCAGAAAAGGTCTAAAAGGTTTYCCAGTAGCTCAGAGCCACATACCTTCTGTTTCCTTCCAAAGTGGTAAGTGTTTACTGAGAGGAAAGAGGAGTGGGAGAAAAGGACAGGGAGGCCATGACCGAGAACAGCCTCCAACCAAAGCATTTCATACCACCCAAGATATGTGCTCGGAAAACGCACACTGCCTCCTTTCCTAGCACAGTAGAATATGAGCACAGAATACTTAGCCTGCCCAAGTCCCACAGTTGCCAGAGATGGGTCTTCAGTTAAATCCACTTGGTCTGAACAATTAACATCACTGCCTTACTAAGAAAAGGAGATGATATGCAGAAAAAGAAAGTCCAAATGATAAATTTACTTCAAAAACAAAAAGTAAAAAAACCTAATGCACCGATCTTCTCCAGTTCTCTCCCTTAGAGACCAGCACCCTTTGAAGGGGCACAAGCCCTCACTTTGTGCCACTGGAAGAATGAGACACACAGGGCCACATGCTTATAGGGAAGCTGTCACTTCAGAAGGGCTCCTACATGATCACATCCATTCTGGGGATTGAACCCAAGAGTGCTCTACCACTGAGTTGTACCCCAAGTCTTTTTCTTCTTCTGAGTCAGGGTCTTGCTAACTAGTGGTCCTGCTGCCTCAGTCTCTGGAGTGTAGGAATATAGGCAATCACCACTGCACCCCACTTATCAAGCCCATTCTGGTAGAGAGTACATCCAAGGCAAGCACCGAGGACAGCTTAGCCTGTCACCTATACTTTTTCTCCTGGACTTCATTAATCATATCTTCCCTTCTTAGCTAAAATCAGCAACATCCAGGGAATGTGACCTCTCACTAAGGGAGGTGGCAGAAGGGCAATGGCCTCCAACAGGTACATCCTGTACTGAAGGCCAGCAGGGCTTTGGCCTCAAAATGCAGTGGAAGGATGCCATCTGCAGGCACAGCTGGAAGACAAGGCTTGGAAGCAGCTGTTTCAGTGAACCCCAGACCTTTCCTACTCTTGGCCAAGCTTCAAGGTCTCCTCTGAGAGGAGATGTTATGCAAAGAGACCAGCACTCACCCAGTGTCCAGGAGAGCATGAGTGGGAGAAGGCTCACCTTAGACATATTTCCCCTGTCTCTGTGATGTTGGGGTGCCAGATCCTGGTCAAGCATTTCACTTTGGGAGGCTGCAACATAAAGAGAGAGAGATGTCACCACAACAACCTCTCTAGGTCACACCTGTGGCCCAAGCCTTTCCACGTCCCCATCTGGTCATAATTTCGAGGCTTGCCCAACATGTAGGCTAACTTTCCAGGCTTAACTCAACCCTGAATGCTACCCCAGTTGCCTAGGCAGGACAAGTGCTCCTCTCATGAGTCTAACCACACCTCTCTACAAGGGCCATGTCCTGAGGGCCCTGGACACAGGGCTGTGGAGCCAGAGTCTGTAGTACATTCCAGGGAAAGCTCCCATGCCCTCCTGGCCACAGCTCAACAGACTCCTGAGTACCAAGCTACTGAGTCACAGCTGAACGTCACTGCTCCTCACAAGACCAGCCGGTTACCCTGGCTGTGTGCTTCTGAAGGTGCTAACGCTACGTACATTTTCCTACAGAATAGTCCCAGTCCACTTAAAGAGGGGAAGAACAAAGAGGCCCATGGGCATGAAAGGTACCAACATCATTCACAACTTGGCATGTTTGAATAAAGTTCTTCTATTTTAAAAGTAAATCACACTCGTAATTAAAGGGAGAATGAAAATGAAAGGAAAAACATTTATTTATATAATATTATATGCATAATTACATAAATGAATAGTTATGTTTCCTTTCACTTGTTTTTGTAATTGTACACACTCACAAAATAATTCCACCCAGAAATAATCTCCACTCACAGCTGATGCACTCTTCTAGGCCTCAGACACACATAGGTGTGTGTGCAAAAAAAGCATTTTTCTTCACAGGAGTGGGAACACGTGCTGCATCTCTTCCTATCCCAGCGACCACCTCAGGCAACCTTCCTGCATTCTTGGCGTCTAACAACACTGCTGGGTGGTAGGCTGCTTCCCACCCACACTCCAAGCCATTCCACACCAGTGCTTATATCTTTGCTCACATCCTTGTAGGAAATAACTCCTCAGGATGAAACCCTGAGAGTGACACTGCTCGGGAATCCTGGCTCTCATGCAGTGCTTTGTGTCCTTCAGGAGGCCGAGTCGCCTCCCATGCAGGAAGGCAGAGGGGCCCTCCTGCAGTCCCCTGTGGCTGGTATGTAGTAAGCATCCGGGCACAGTCTCATCAGAATCTCATCTCATAAAGGATCAACCATTTGTCAAATAGGGTGGCATGCTCCCTGCTCGTCATTTAGTATTCGATTTTATTTATGCTACTTTCTGAGGTGTGGAAGGTTTTTCTTTTAATCTTTGGGATCAAAATTTCTCTTCTGATATCATACTTAAAATGCCTTTCACCATCCAAATACTCTCCTTTTACTTTTTCTAATACTCACAGTTTCATTTTTATTTGTATAACAAACAGTTTTCTACCTGATATCAAAACCACAAAATCATGTGATTAAATCCACTGTGCAAACTTATATGTCTGAGGGTGAAAGAATTTAGGTTGAGTTTAAATACATTTCACATGCTCTCCTTTGTTTTCTGCAAATAAGTGGGAATGCATTTGAAACATGTCTGGAATAAAGCTGACTTGATGTTTATTTCCAATAAGGTGTTTAGGCTGAGGAGGAAGGTCAGAGCTGCACCCCTCCACACAGCTGAAGAGAGCCAAGTCCGGGGGGACTGAGTCACCCATGCTCAGCATCTGAAGAACAGAAAGGAGTGGCCAGCTTGACGCTCTCCCAGACCAAGCGCCTTTTCTGGAGCATTCCTGGAGCTGAGGCTACTAGTGCTCCCAAAGTGTCTTGTTTGTCCTTCCTTTTCCTCGCCCCACAGCTCCCCCAGGCAGAGGCTSACACAGAAGCCTCCTCTATCCCTGGCGCCCTTTAACTGTGAGGCTGTGACAGGGCGGAGCTCTGCGTTAGAAATGTGGACCTGGACTCTGAGACCCAAAGTGCCCAACAGCACCTTGTCTCACGAGTCCTTCCCTCCCTCACTCTTGGATCCCCCTTCGGTGCTTGCACCCATTCATATAGCTAAGAGCTTAACTCTGCATTACACATCAACAAGGAAAATGGGATTATTCAATGGACCCCTGGCTAACAATTTGGAAATACAGATCCCCCTTACAGCTTTATTCCAGACACAATAAAACTAAATGTAAGGTGGGCACAGTGGCACACATCTAAAGTCCCAGCAACTTGGGAGACCAAGGTAGGAAGATCGTAAGTTTGAGGCCAGTCTCATCAGTTTAATTCTTGTCTCAAAATTTAAATAAATAATTAAATAAATAAATAAAGGGTAGGGATGTGACTCAGTGGTAGATTATTCCAAGGTTCAATCCCTAGTACCATGCCAGGGGGAAAAAATGCCAAAGACCATTCATAGCCTAGAATATCTAAAATGTTTGCCACTTTGCCCTTTACAGAAGGTCTGCTTTATAAGCTATCCAAAAACCAGCCATCCAGTGGCCAACAATACAGGGCTGGCTTAACCCAGTACACACTGTACAATGAATGTTTATTGAAGTCACTATATATTCCAAGCACATGGTTCAGAGCTCATTTTATAGTGTCCTCACAAAAGAAAGCCTTAAATTAACAATGGTTAACTAGATACTTTGAGCAGGAATAAGATAATGCTTACCAAGGAGTCCTATGCCATTTTTTCCAAGGAGGTGCATTTGAGGCACCCTTGCTAATGAGGCTGTGACCATACAGTAAGTGTCTGTCACATTGTGAGTTGAGGAGCCCAAGCTGCCAGGCTCTGTATGGACAGCTCCATGCAGAGACCCTGAGCTTTCCTGCGACTCTGTTTCCAAAGTGGGTCACTGGTGGTTAACATTCTGTTCTACACAGCCATGCCATCTCATTTCAAAGTATAAATACAATGAATGAAATGGAGAGAGGCAAGTGGGATTCCAGGAGGTACCTGCAGTCATCGAGGTCATCTGAGTGTCTCTGGCTTCCCTCCCTCGGTGCACAGGGCGGAAATGGCCAACAACAAACAAAGCGGCATGACACGAGTCACTTCCAGGAGGAAACCAGAGAAACGAGTACAGAGCCGTTCTTTTTCTCCTGCTTCTCAAATCTGCCTGGTGACCAACACCCAGGCTGTCAGCACTCTTCTGGGGTCCACTCTACCCAAGGAATCAGCTTCCAGGAGTCCTGCTTCTGTGTCCAGGGTGACCGGAATTCCTAAGGGCCTACAGTGCCTGATACTGCAGGAGCTCAATAAGTGTCACTAAACCAAATCGGCCAGTGTCTAAGATTGAGAGATGACAAGGCAGGCTTCAGGCTGTGAGGAAAAGTTCAGAGACAAAGGGACAGGAAGAAAACAACTCACCAGGAAATCTGGATTCTAGTTGCTGGGATGTGGGAGCATGTGTGTGGATGGATACTGAATGGACACTTTTCTTTGCAAGTTTTTCTAAAATTATGATTTACTTTATTAATTAAAAGGTTTTTTTTTCAATTTATAATCCTTATAAATCAATCTTCACTGCAAAAACCATAATTCTTGGGTGTTTTAAATCTTCATGAAGTACATAAGTCACGTGAGCAAAGCTGTGGCACAGGAGTGGAGAAACCAACGAGTCCCCAGCCTCGGGGCTGACACTGCCGACAGTGGAGCCGTCTGTCCAGGCTCACACTCATGACCTCTATCCAAGGGCTTGCAGCCTGGCCCTTGCATGTGTTGGCTTAATTTTGTTTTCTACACTATTAAGCAGAGAGTTGACCTCCAGAAATATGAGCAACAGGTGCCTAAGAAGACAGGCACAGGCTACACACTGGACACGCATCTGAAAGACAGCTGCAGGCTACTGCCAGGAGCTCACAGGCTAGAGGGAAGAGGCTACAGAACTCTGTAAGGAAAGATGAATTATAAACGTTTTTGTATTCAACTCAGCACTGCACCTCCTGGTCTCCTGGAGACCCCCTGCTGTGGACCCCACATTTGCCTAAAGAGAGCAGAAACAGGCAGGAACAAAGCCCACCCCAGCTCTTCTCAGTGACTTTGGGTAGAGAGCATTACACCTGGCCAGCCCATCTCACTGCTGCCAGAGCAGCAGCAGTGAGACCAAGGAAACACAGAATCATGGTGACAAGCCAACGGCCAGACACTGCATGGGATCTGTGGCACGGCTGCAGGACGATGCACCTCTGCTCTGTTTGGGGACTATAGCTGGCAGGACAGCAGAGCCAACCTCTGGGACAGCCTTCAATTCTTGAGGGACACAAGACGCAAAGGTTCAGGGRTTTTAGCCACAGTATACTCAATTTTCCTGCAAATCTCTCCGCTTCTCAAAGTCACATGTGGGTGGAACAGAATGAAGGACATTACCAGGTGTAGACAAAGGGAAGGGCGCACATTTATAAGCTGGGCAGCCCTGCACATGCACTGGCCTCAGCAATTCAGCTGTCTGCACTGGCAAAACTACTTAGTAAGCTTTGTTTTGTTTTGTTTGGGGTTCTTTGAGACAGGGTATTACTATGCTGCCCAGACTGGCCTCAAATTCCTGGACTCAAGTGCCCTCCCACCTCATCATCCTGAGGAGCTGGGACAACAGGCGCATAACTCCTTGCCCAGCTTTAATTAAGTTTTAAAAGTTAACCTGCTGAGCTCTAACTCACTACCATATAAAGAGACTAGAATATTACGACCAGCCCCTGAACAATGGTGGAGGATGGACAGAGGTGACCTGAACAGAAACACCTGGACATAGACGTTCTGTCACGACTGCTCCCACCTTCGTGTTTCTCACGCTTTGCTTTCTTTCTATAACAAGAACAACAACTTCACAACTAAATGGCTCCTCAAGGCCTGCTGGAGAAGCACAGGGGCTCATGCTAAACTTCTCCCTCAGCTAGCCAAAGGACATGAACTCACCCACCTTAATTCACAGTCCTAATTCTTCTGAGGTACAGTCTACAGAGATGGTCTATGTCCAGCCTAGAATTTTACATTCTATMCTCCTAGGTTTCCAGAAGTCAAACTGTCTCCAATTCTAAACACCTGTACTTAAGCCAAACAACCTTCCAAGCTGCCTCAATAAGGTTTTTGGTGTGTAATCTGGAAAAGGTGGAAAGTCTCAGTGGGTAACTGATGGGCTAGACAAACACCTGAAATACACATGCTTTGTTTAAAAATTAAATTTCTTTTTTCCCCTTAAATTGCCAACTATCCCTCATCTTTATAAAGAACTCTTAACATAGTAGTGCAGCAAAAATCAATTTCTAGAGATTAAAGTTTGGCTTCAAACAAGAGTTGCAGCTCTGAGCTGTAACCTGGCGTGGGGTGGGAGATAGAAGGAAACCAGCAGCCACAGGCAGAATAATGGGGCACATGGTGTCCCCAGGCTCACATCCTTAGGCCAACAGAGACTTCATCTTGTCCGTGTTCCCCCACAGATTTCTCTTACACCCCTGCACTCTGATCCTGTATTAAACATACACTTTGATACCACAGGCACTGCCGTGGGCACAGCCTGAGGTATGTCACCAGGCGCAGCCTCTTCCCCTGTGTCCCGGGCCCAGAATCCTCCACAGCTTCTCGGTGCCAAATTGAAAAGGCCAACAAACCAGAGACTTCTTGTTGTTTTCTCCATTATTTCTTGACTCCAATTTTTTTCTCTGCCAAGTGGCCCTCTGCCTTCCCCGGGGGAAGCTCTTCCACACCTGTGACCACAGATCCACACATTCCCAGCTCACCTGGAGCACCCTCCCCCTGCTATGGGCCAAATCAGGACAACCCAAATCTGGTTCTTTAGAAGTCACACTGGTCTTCACCACTTCCAAAAGTGACCTCCTTCCCTTCTCTGAACGCCACAYATTGGCTCCTGTCACCATCAGCCTGTCTGCTACTTACCACTTTCAGTGCTTCATTGGCTTTTTACCCTTTATTTCACCTCCCTAATGGTTCTGTTAGTTCCTCAAAAGCCAAGAGAGATGTGATAGTATTTGGTATCATTATTACCTAGGAGGGTCTTTGAGGGATTAACATGTACCTATGGGTAAAAACTACTCATAGCTTACAACAAGCTATTATTCTCTCAAAGTCTAAAGTACCTATGTTATGGACTTCTGGAACTTTGGTGTTACACAATAAACAAAACTAGTTTTAAATTAAAAATATACTTTTTTTCCCCTTACTTATTAATAAGTAAGACTTTACGTGAAATACAACAGGCCGAATGCCTGGCACATAACATTCACAACCACTTGTTGAACAAATGTATTTCTCTACTGAATTAAGTACGGCTGATGAGTGAATTCACCACAGAAACACTAGCAATCTTGTGCTGGGTCCCAGGGCGTGAGGAGGGGCAAAGGCCCTGCGTGGCCACAGGCCCCCTGGCAGACACCCCCTGGGTACAGGAAGACAAAGTGCAGGTACAGGCTACTCACCACCATGTTGTATGCGTCAGGAACTTCAGTTTCAAACTGAAACTTTCCACCCTGGTAGTAACCCTCATCTATCAAAAAACACAAAACAAAACAAAAAAATCCTTTAAATTAAAAAAAAAAAAAAGAGGAAACAAAAAGCAAATACTACATTAGGATATGGCAAACACAGAATAAGAGGTTACAATGAAGGCTGCASTGTTCCTTAGCCAAAGGCAGGCACATGAGCAGGGCCTTCCCCTGACCTGGGCAACAGGGGATCCACCTGGATCGCACAGTGAAGAGCAGCATTCTCTGGGGGCCTGGCTGCTCGCCACCCCACATCCTTTCTGCTCCACGCTGTTATAGGTGTGCACCCTCCTAACCTTGCCTCCTGCTTGGGTGAGCTCCTCTGCTTCCTCCTGGCCTCTCCAGCACTTGCATGACTTCTAGCCACTGGGCTCACATTTGCTGAGTACCCTCTCTCTGCCAGGCTTGGGGGACACAGCCGGGAACTAAACTGCTGCTTCAGTGAGTGCTTGGTGCAGCTTCAGAGCAGGCCCTCAGAAAATGGGGGCTGGTGGGCTGCAGGATAATGTCTGGGCCCCGGGTTCACAGACACCGTAGGCAATCCCTTCTCTCCCAACTGCACTGTCTGGGTGTCAGGAAATGGCTACAGGTGCTGTTGCCTGTAGAGGGCGCTCCAGCATGAATGACCAGGAAAAAGACTCCCAAACCTCAGATTGTTTTCAAACTTTGAAATGTGCCACARTTAGCAACATTATAAAACCAAGGCTCAACTTTCCCCCAAACATCTACCACCATGAAAAAAATCTGCTATATGGGTGTATGTGATTGCACACACATGGGAGGTGGAACCCAGGGCTTCCTGCATAGGAAACAACTGTGTTACCACAGAGCTACATTGAGCCCTAAGGTTTTGATAGGAAGCAATTGGATACAAGATGAAGAGGAGAAATGCTATTTCTCTTTTATTTTAAATTCATCTGCTGAACACCAGTGAGGCTGCAATTTATTTTAGATTGCTGGTCATTTGTACTTTTTCTAAGAACTGAATGATCAATATTCATTAACATGTTACTAAGGTTTTCATCTTTTGATTATCAATATAAAAAGATTCTTAAGAGAATTAGCCTTTGCCTAATTTTTGTTAGCAATTTTTGTTAGTCTGTTGTTTGCCTTTTGATCTTGTTATTTCTCAACACTAGTATTCCATCTTTAAGAAATCAGTCTTTGTTCATGTTTTATGTCTTTAATATCATGCTTGAAAATCATCTTTTCCAACCAAGATTATACAAATGCTCTCCTACATTTTATTCTGGTAATTTGGTGATTTCACATGTTATATTTAATGAGACCACTCACTCATTACACAGAATAAGGTGTTATTATCTTCTAATTGGTTGCCTAAGCACACCATCCCTAMAGCATTTACTATTCCATTCTTTCAGCACTTTATTTTATATATTTCTGATTCTTAAAAATATGTCTGGATTTGTGACTGATAGTATAAACTCTTTGGAAAAGATATTTGTTTGGATGAATGTTAAACTCCAGATATGAGAATTTTTAAAAGTAGCACCTTATGTGTAAAACAGGTGGAGTGCACTCTCCTTCACCAAGGACTCTGTGGATGTGGGTCTCCCCGCTGACCTTGACCACCAAGGCAGGGAAGCCTACCACTAGGCTCATCAACTCTGCAGGTGCACAGCCCACTCTGTGCTGACCCTGCAGAACCAACTGTGGCCCACGTCACACACCATGGCCTATCCATGAGACTGCCCAGCCACGCCATCCCACCACACTGAATTTTCTCTCTGGTTGGCTTCCTGTTTCACTGATTCAATACATTTCAACTCTGTTGCCCACCAGTTTCAAAGTTTGGACTTTGAAATGTGGTTCCAATTTCATCATGTTCCTTCTGTCCCAACCACTTCTCAGTTAATAATTGTCCAAACTGTATCTTAAATCACTGCAAACCAAGAACAGAATGTTGKAATTTCTTTCTTTTTCAAAAAACAAATCTGAGGAAAATCACCTGCTTCTGAATCAGTGCTTCCTTTCTCCCTGAAGCTGCACAGCTGCTGGCCCCAACCAAGGTTGCTTAGTAATGACCAGATCTGCCCAGAAGTCCCAACGCCCAGCTCACAGGCAGTGAGGAGACCCGGAAGCAGCTTGCGCCCTAGGTGTTCTCTGTGGTGACCCCAGACGCAGAGCTCTCCACTCCCTCTGCACCAGCCTCTACAGCCTGCACCCCCTCACCCAGCACCCCAAGCTGGCAATCAGAGGGCTCAATCAGCGCCTGAAAAACCACAGTGTGAACATGGCCCTGGGCACTGTTTCCAAGTACAGACAGGCCGACTCTACGTTACTACCCATGGCTGCAGACACTGAAAACGTTCTGCTTCTCAGCAAAGGGGGCTTTAAAGTGCAGTAAGGAGACACAGCAGGAGAAAGCTCCAGGCTGCCCACTAACAAATTCTCGCTCCCGGGGCTCTGGAGCCTACTCCCTCCTGCCTTCGAGGGACCACACACGGGCATTTCAAAGGAGATTATGGGATAACCCTGGAGAACAAAGCTTCCCAAGGGACACAGCATCTTCAGGCTCCACCTGGAGAAACCTGGACCCTGTGACAAGGGGACCTATTTCAGTCTTTCTCCCACCTTTAAAAGAAGACCTATGCTCCTCCACCCTCTCAGCAGAAGCTCTGCTTCAAGGCGTAAACACACTCCACCAGGGCCAGAGGACCAGTGATGGGGTGGGCCAGCTGGTGGAGGAGCTGTGAAGAACTGTTTCTCCCTTCTCACACCCATTTCTATAAGGGTAAAGTGCGGCACCATAAATAAAACAGTTCACTCTGGAATGCCCTGCGTTCAGATACAGGGAGTCTGGTGGCAGGGGCCATTAAAACTCCAATCTAGATCACTGTAAAAAAGGCACCCCACCCATGAGAGGCAAGCAGCAAATGCCAATGAGGCCGCCTCGGTGCGTTCTGCTACCAGCACCGGGCTCATGCCTCCCCTCCCTGAAGGGAATCAGATGGCTGTCGAGGTATGCCTCGTGATGGAAAGTCAACCAGGACTTGAGAGCAAGTGACTAGTTTGACAATTAATGAATTTGGCAGATATTTCTCATAAATTGAGCCAAATCTACAGCTCCAACTTTTAGATAAAAATACAAAGAGTGTGGTACTATTTTTTTCCAATATTCTATTGGTAAAGATATGTTGAAGTTAAAACTATTGCAATTTTCTCAACTCTGAGTCGTTCAGGTAAAGTGAGATGCACTGAAAGAAAAGTGGCAGGTGGGACTCAGCTCATGGTCAGCTGTTGGGCCTGGAATCCTGGGTGGCAAAGCCTCCTCCAAGTTAGGCGTTTCTAATTCTCTGTTTTCAACACCGCTGAAGAGGGCACCTAGTTTAGGAGTCAGCTGAACAATTCTGAAAATACCTGCTCGGATTATTGGTTTTAACTTTGAACTTAACTGCAAAGTCGCCAAGTTAGAGCTACAACAAATCCCCTTCATGACTGTCTCCTTATTTATGTGAACTGGCAATTCTCAGTATTTATATCTATAAAGACAAATAAATGAAGAAACTGGTATTTGAACACTTATTTCTGTTGTGTGTTCACAGAACATATCCTGGAATGTCCTGTGTTCACAGAACATGAAATGCTAATTCATGTTTAAAAACTTCAAAATTTACAAGCTACTGCTTAAATTCATCATTCCATTCCACGAGTCCTTGATGAGTGACAACTATGTGACAGACATTGTTCTAAGCACTGGGGACACGTCAACAGGGGACAATGCCTGTCCATGGGAAACTTACATTCTAGTGGCAGAAGAGAAAGTCAACGAGTACAGCCAACAGAAGGAGAAAAGGCAAGGGAGGAGGAGGCTGGAGAGGCTGCATCTCACATGGGACACTGRCAGGGGTAGGGCCAACAGCACTCTGGGCAGGGGTGGCAGATGAAGCAGCAAGAGGCGTGGCATTCTCAGAACAGCACAAAGGCCAGCGGGCCAGAGAGGGAGGCGACAGCAGAGGCAAAGAGGTCAGCAGTCCATGGTGACAAGCAGACTACCTGCCAGGAGGCTGGCTGATTCAGGGGGAGACAGGAACCATGAGAGGGATCTGAGCCCAGGAGGGCAGGGTAGGTTGTAGCCATCCAGGTGATCGATTAGAGGGTTAGCCCAGAGCAGGCAGTGGGGGGACACTGAGATAGGAGCAGCACCAGGATCTGCGGATAGATCAGGAATGGGGCAGGAGAGAGAAAGTAGTCAAAGAAGATGCTAAGGTCTCTGACCCTGAGTTAAAACAATGGATATTAAGTGACATCCAATGGAGTGGGCAGCTGACGGGTCCTGTGTGCAGGGGGTGGGGGGCGGTGGCGTGGTTGGGCCGCAGAGAGGAGTTTGAGAGCCTTTCAGTGTAAGAGCACTTAACTTCAAAAGATGAGGTAGGAAAGGAAGATGAGCTTGGGAGACCAGACAGAGGAGGGGCAGCCAACAACAGGAGGAGAGCCAGAAGCCTGTGTGCTCTAAGGTGAAAATGTTTGTGCTTACAAGTATTTGTCATTCTAGAATAGATACAAGTATTTGTCATTCTAGAATAGATAGATTGAGCTATCTATTCTAGAATGACAAATACTTGTAAGCACAAACATTTTCACCTTAGACTGAAATTCTGTAGAACAAATGAAACGAATGTAAGGGTGCCAGGAGGAAAAGTGGATTTTCCGGATTCCACCTGGCAGTGCKGCCACTCACTCTGCACACCTAGGGTAGCTGCATGCATGGTGCTGGATCCGAATCTGGAAACACTTCCAAGAGTGATGCCATACTTTGATTTTTAAATGGCAAAATTTCTGCACACTAGAAATTCTATCTTATGCAACACTGGGGACATGAGGAGTGGTCAGGGCAACAAGAAACCCTGAGCCAGGGCTGCGAGGCAAGCAGGAACAGGAAAGTTGACACTGGGCCGAAGACACAGTCAGCTATCTATTATGAAGAGGTACGAGGATTTAGAGGAATACATGAACATAATGAGGAAAGAAATGGACAATT